ATTGTCTTTCATTATTATGAAAAAAAAACGAAGTTATTTTCTCCAAACAACCCAATATGTATCAGGAAAAATTTACTCAAAGCGAAACATTTTTGCACCAATTTATAAAACTCGTCTTTCCAAATATAATTTAATGAAAAGAAATTTTTTTTAACAATTTTAATGTATTATTGCTCTGTTTCAACCTAATTTGAATGTTTACATATTTTAAACTAGGCGATTTTAAAAGACATATGAGAAGGTTCGACCCAATAGTTCTCTAGACACAAAAATTAAAACTATGGCTTTTTTTAAAAAATTTTATTGTTCGAAATTGATAAACCAATTCCATTAAAATTTTGGATTTTATCATTTATAATTTCACAGTTTAAGCTACTGTTTGCATAACAATTCGGAATGGTTTAGATTTTTGAATAAAGATATGAAAAACTGTAAAAAAAAATTATTATTTATCGTTTTTTTCATTAAATTAATCCTATTTTTGTGTTAAATAAAAATTTTCAGCAATAAAGTAATCTATGCAAAAGGTAAAATTAACATTAAGGAGCTTGAATTTTCCCCTTATATTATGAAAATTAAAGTCTAAATTCATCAAAAATAGTTTTTTTTTTATAGAAAAAAATGCGTTTTTGTCTGATTTTGTTACTTAATAATAAAAATTTAGTAATATTTTAGAAGGGTTCGAGGTACGGTTTTGATACATTTGCATTAGTGTGTATTTTCTAAAATAACGGTAATACAGGTAATATACCATTTGTAAGACAGGTGAAAAAAAACAATATCTTGATGGAAAAAAATTGATATTAGGAAGCATCTTGTAAGAGTTTGAAATCTACTAAGGATTACAAGTCAAAAATTGCAGCGAAAATCGATTTATGTTGATCTTTTTTGTTTTTAAAATTCAAGTGTGAATGTTTCTAAATTAAATGTGGGATAATTTGCAGAGAAAATATTCCATTAAATCGTTACTAAACAATCAGAGGTATTTTCAATTTGAAAATTTGTGAACGTCTTACCATATAACTATGTAAAAGAATAATTAATAGAATAACAGTAAATTTAAGGGTGTAGTAAAACTGAAAACGATACAAAAATAAGAAAAATTCTAAATTCTATCCCGGATTTTTTTTAATTCCTGCATTTTTAACTATTTTATTTATTTATTTTTGAATTTTTATTTTCCGTTAATTTCTCTGCATTTTTTAAAATTCTGCTTTGTACATTAGAACTCTTATTTTTAGAAAGAATAAATAAAAAGTAACACCATTTGATTTAAAAAAAATAATAATAAATCCAATTTCTCCAAAAATCGACTTTCTATTTTTATTATTTTGCAATTCGACTTTATCAACATTTTATCAACATTTGTTCTGAAAGTATAACTTGAAACTCATATATTTAAGAATAGTACGTCCAAACTTTTTTTTTCTTCATAGACACGATAACTCTTTTAATTTTTATCGGATTTTCTTAAAAAAATAACAGTATTTAAATAATTAATGCAGTTAATTAAATAAATATTTCCAAGAAACGGAAGGGGTAAGATATCACTTGATGAAAAACTTCATTCGCTTCAAAAATATGCAAATTGGTAATAACAGTCGACAAACTAGACGTGTTTTAAAATTTAGACTCAAGGAGCAGGATAGATACGTCCTTTATTAAGAATACGAGAAATCATCAATTGCTGCTGATTATTGGAATCTTGGGCATAAATTCAATTTCCGAAATTTATTTCACCCCAATCACATCAGCTCATCTTGATGCCCTGGAATCTTGTTTTATTCATATGAATGCTGATTCCGTTGTTAATGACATGAAATCATCGCCACCTCTCCATAGCGAGTGGATATGCATCCCCCTTATTTTGCCTCTCTTGGTCACTGTGGTTTTTCTTGCTTCATTTTTCATCTCTTTCTCTCTCGGCAACTTAACGTTTTGATTTAAAATCACTTTTGTTTCTTCTCATTCACGTCTGGCAAGTTTTGAAATTGAACACCTTTTTTTGAGCGCTTGAAATATGTCAACTGTTAATTTTAAAATCCACATTTTTGAAACGAGTGAAGTTTTTATTAAGTAGTACAATTAATGTCACAGGTAAAATTGTAGCTTTTTAGTAATGAAATAATAAAGTCACATTTAAGGTATAAATCGTTTAATTCAAGTTCATCATTTAATTAATGTATGAATTATTCGATTATATTTATACTTTTTGCTTAATAAAGAGATTAAATCAAACGTTTGAAAATCTTGAATTCTAAATTCGTCATTGAATAATTCAGAAACTACAAACGTTATCAAAAAATATTTAAGCACAGCAGGTATTAGTTTATTTATAAGTATGTCACCAATTCAAATTTAAATTAAAGGAATTAATGTTATTATAAAATTTTCGTTGTAAAAAAGAGTTATTTAAAATTAGAAAGAAATACGTCCATATTGTGCATGTAGAGTGAGGAAATATGAATGTTGCACAAAGGAAAATGTTTTAATATATGAATAGAAATAATTAAATTATATATTTAAAAAAAACATAATTTTCCTGAGATATTTACTGGAGTGATTAACTTGGTACTTAAATTTTAAAAAGATATTCTTTTCATTTACATGAAAATAAGGAAAAAATTGAAAATTATGCTTTTATAATCATGGAGCATCTTATCCTAGTAACTTTTACGTATCCTATGAAGTTTTCTCATACAAAAAACTCGTATAAACCAATTCAGCTTTCATGTACTCCAAAGCTGTTAGGTCGAAAAAATTGGTAAAAATAGCACTCATATAAAGTCAAAAGTATATAATAGTATTTATTACTTTTTTTGATAATTGCTTTTAATTATTTCGGAAACGTTGATTATTTAGAAAAAAGCTACTCGGGAAGATTTATCCATAATAGAATAGATTGGTTTAAATGTTATAAAAACTATTTAAAAAAAGCTTTACACACAATTAATTAATAAGCAACAGTTATGATAGAGACTAATTTTTCCATTTAACAAAATAATAATAATAAAAATAAAGAGTATAAATTATAAACTTTTAATGAACCAGACTGGAAAAATAAATTAGCCAAAATAACGAATGTTTTAGGTTATGAAAAAAAGTCATTTTATTTTGACGTCTAAATTTTATGAGTAAGTCTAAAGATCCAATGTACGGATTTTAATGCCCTAAGTCTTAGTGGATGATTAGTCATTAAGTCATATGTGGATTAGTCATTAAGATTACATCTTAGTGACTAAGATGTAATCTTAATGGTTTGAGGGCCTAGCTTTAAATATACCAAGTAATTAGTGAAGACGATATTTTGAGTTAAAAAATCAGGTACAATAGCATATTTTATTTGAATAAACATATCTTTTTTTGGTAGATTTGTATTTTTTGATTCACAAATCAAGGGGAGGTAGACAATAGTGAAAGATGTTCCTTAGCGTTTGGTTAAGAAAAGAAAAGTCATATTTTTTGAAAAAATAAATAATAATTATAAAAATAAATTTTTTTTGCTATCGATCATCTTTATAATTCTATTTAAAAAGTTTGTAATTGGCTTAAAGAGTTCAAGAGATATAGCGAAATAAGAAATTAAACGAAATAAGTAATTATAAGAAAGAATTTTTTTTTCTACCGATTATCTTTCTAATTCTATTTAAAAATTTTGTAATTGGCTTAAAAGTTCAAGAAATATGGTGAAATAAGCAAAAAAATGAGATTAACATAGAAGGGTTAAAAGTTTCGACTATTCTCCTGACTTGTATTTTATTGATAGCACCTATACCTCCCCCTCCCCCCATATTTCGAGAATCGAAAACCCGAATCAGTAAAAAGAAATGTTTATTGGAGAGAAAGTACGTTTTTGTGTCTAACTTTTGTGTCGTAACTTAAAACATTATTTGCAATAACTAATTAGCATATTTTAAATAATCCTAGAGTCATTGACACTTCATGTTTGTGTACGGTAATTTGACCATTAGGTCAAGCGTCATGAAGGATTTCCGTTTTTTATTTTGTCTTCAGTAGAACATTTAAATTTTTAAACTTTAGTTAATCAATAAAAAAAAGGTCAAAAATTATACTGTCGCAAAAATGTTTCATATCAATATAGAATTTCGTAAAATGAAATAAATAAGACGCATGCGTATAAATTTGTAGAAATTTTTTGAGTTTCATTTGCTCTAGTTTCCAACTTCAAGAACTTATTGACAAACTTGCCTCATAACATATTTTAATTTTCTTAGAAAATAATCATTAAATGATGAAGATGAAATTCACTCACTTTTTTTAATTTTTTTCCCCCAACAAGTAAGGATAAAAGAAATTTTTTTTTAAATTTTTTTTAATTAAAAATAATATAACACCAGTGATTAGAATAATTTCAATTTGTCAAAGTCAGTTATAGAATTATTATTTTACAAATTCAAAATTTAAAGAAAACAATTTAAAATTTTTTTCTCAAATTTGTGAAATTTAATTTTTGCAATTTTTTTAAACATTAAATCCATCATAATCATCATAATAAATTTCATCATCTCGGAATGAAATAAAAACGTCATATTTTTTCCGTTTAATGTGATTTAGATAAATAGTGCGCATGCGTAGAAATATCTAGAAACTTTTTAAAGTTTCATTTGCTCTAGTCTCTAATGTTTTTAAATTCTTTTAACAAGTGGCATTAATAATATTTTTTTAAATAACATGAATAATTCAAACAAATTTAATTTCGCAATGCCAATTTAATTTTAATTAAAAAAGAAAGTTAAAAATGTTTCTAAAACTTTTAACAAAAAAATATTAATTTTCATCAACGCAAAAATGAAAGAAAAAGGATATACTTCTTCAGTTAGAAGCCTTCTCTCATAATCAGTAATCTCACTATTTTTATAAAAAAGTTAATATAAAAATTTAAAAGTTAATATAATGAATTTTATTATTATACCAACTTTTATTATCATAATAATTAAAAATTACTTTAACGAACTGAAATGAAATAAAAAACGACATACTTCTTCGGTATGAGGCCTTCTCCAGAAATCAGTAGTCCTAGTATGTTCGGAAGAATCACCCATGCTCGCTTAATAGCAGACGATAACATATGAAATAACAACAGAGCCTTACCTGATTTTTAGTTGCATTTAACTGTGTTACAGAGTTTTGACCACGTGCCATGAAAAACGCCACCTACCGAAAATAAAAAGAATACTACTTCTTTCTACTTTTCCAGGTAAAAGATGGATTATTCTGGGTTTCATTTTCGGCGAATACCTGCAGAATGTTTTGATCCTATATTTCTCTACCTAACGTGTTCTTTTAATTAGCATTAATGTCAGCGGGAGTTGTAAATCTTCTTCTATCCTTTATTATATCAGAAACTAATTGCATTTTGGAATGATTTTTTTTTCTAACTGACTCATCCATTGTTGTTGTGAAATATTTATTGGGATAATTAATGTGTAGTAGACTGCTGAAATTGCAAAGCATTATTTAGATGATCATCGGTTTTTGTCAAAATCGATGAAGTTTTAAATAAAAATAAAATCTTTGTGGATGAGGTATAAAAAAAAATATAGAAAAAAATGTTTTTTTTTTCTAGCATGAGTTCAGATCACATATTTCAACAAATAATTTTAAAAAGGGTATAGATTTGGGAAGGGTTGATTTTCATATATTTTGGACGATTATGGAGAGGTTTAAAACGAAAATAATTCCCAACCACATCTTTAATACTAACGACACTATAAACAAGAAAAAAACTGAAGCTTTTATAACTATGAAAAAAGAGGGCGGATCTCTTAGAAGTCCGTGTACTTCTCTATTTGAAGCAATTTTCTGAAGGTCCTAAAAAAAGTCCAGATTTCGGGTACGATCGTTATCCGTTCTTTTATTGAGTCTTATTACTTCTATTATCTAATGTGTCCTATTACTTCCATTCTAACTCGGTTTTATCGCTATCTAATTACAAGTTATTTCCTCCCAAAAAACATTGTCCGATGTTTTGATATCAGATTCAGAAGTTCTCTTGTCTTTTGAGTACAGTTTAAAACAATAAAAAATGCTCAGCTAAAAGACTCAAATTCACAATCTGGATAAGTTGTTCATAAAGAGCGATAAAATAAAATTATCTTGCTAGGATAGATGCTTGTTTCCAATCCAATCTCGAATATTTTAGATGACTAGTTAAAATATACAGTGTTTTCCTTAATCGCCTCCCTTACTATATATTTTTAAAATCCTTGTTAAAATTGCCGTCTGAAAAGTTTATACATTAAGAGTTAAAAATTAATATATAGGCGAGAAAAAGAAAAGAAAATCACTCTCTGTCGAATCCATAGTTAGAAAAGCGGCAAGAAAAATATCAATGGTGAAAATTGGAAGTGATTCAAAAAACCGCCTTTAAGTTCCCCTGTAGATTTTGATATTTTGAGTCACGCCTTCCTCACTTCTGATTTGATGGTGTTTTTGTTTCTGCATCAATTAAATATCACTTTGCGATTCTAAATGTTTTGACCGGTTTCGAATTTTTCACAAAGATTCTAAGAAATAGTTATTAGAGAACACCCTGTTTGTGTTGCTCTCGTTTTGTACCTACCATAGTACTGAGATAAAATATCCCCAGTACAGAACTGAAATTTATTGTCTTAAAACTTCCACTTGTTTTACTAAGATAAAATTAAGTTAAATATTTTGAAATCATTCTTCACATATTTTCCTGAAACACAAAGTCACTGAAGAGTGTGATGCGTAGAAAATTACTTAAATTTATGTTTTGGGCATTATTTAAAATATATGTCATAAAACTTTGAGTGTAATATTTATCATAGAGCCTATATTCTCCAATTCTTAAGAAAAAACTTCAAAGAAAATTCATTCTTTTCATTTATTATTTCAGCAATTCCGCAAGTTTTCGAAAAATAACACGCTGTAAAAATATTTTTAAATAAATATTTTATTTTCAACTTTATACATTATGCGATAATATTTCACTACTCGATAAAGACTATAACCAAGTTTCCGAAATAAAGCTAAGGATGATATTTTAATTAATTTTTCCTGTTTAAGAAGTTTAAGTAAATAAAATAACAAGTAAAATTTTTTTACCGCTAATTAGTTTAAGCTATTAAATGCCAGTTATAACTAGTCATATTCAGAAGTCAATTAAAATCTAGTAACTAATTTATACTTGTAAATAAACATAATCAAAGAGAATAATTAAAAAGTCGCATTATAAGTTCAGAAAGTAAATATTTGCTATAAGTAAAATCGTGCATTTGCAACGTACTTATGTAGTGGAATAAAATATTTTTATAGCACATTCTTGTTTTTAATTTTAAAATCAAGAATTTTCTGCACCTTCAATAAATAAAAAATAATGAAAAGAAAACTTTTACGTCATTTTATTATCGATTTTTTTAATTAATATTTCTATGCTTTCTGATCCCTTTTTCCTTTTGTCGGCAAAAACAAAATATATTGTTTACTTAAGATTTTTCTGATTTCAAAATGTCATATTATTCTACTAAATTAATTTATTTTCAATTTTAAAAGTATTTTTTTTTTCATCACTTAAAGGGAATTTGTAGAAAAAAGTAGCTGCGTAAAATATTTGAAAGACTATGAATACTGAACATACAAGAAAATATTTGAACGGATATGCATACAGTACATGATATACAGGCTTCCAGGCTTTGATAAATAGTTGATTTTGTGCATTTTGATTTTTTTCAACAGTAGATCGAATTAATTTCTGTTTCTTTTAAATTTGAACTCAAAGAAATTTCGTCAGATTTTAATACAGTTTTAGACAATATGAAAGTTAATCAATAAAATTTTCACTACAAATCAATTAAGAATAGGCACAGATAAAGTTGTCTGAAGTAGAACATGCTTACATAGAATATGCAAATTTGCAATTCATTTCTGGATGATGCTATTGCTATTCCAGAATACCATTTATTTTGTTGCAATAGTTTCTTTAAAACACTACAGATTTTAAATCAAATTTAGACAATATGAAAGCTAATCAATAAAATTTTCCGTACAAATACAATTAAGAATAAGCACAGATAAAGTTAGCTGAAATAGAACATGCTTATTTAGAATATGCAAATTTTCAATTCATTTCTGGATGATGCCATTGATATTCCATAATACCATTAATTTTGTTGCAATAGTTTCTTCAAAACACTGCAGATTTTAAAACAAATTTAGACAATATAAAAGTTAATCAATAAAATTTGCAGTACAACTGTAATTAAGAATAAGCACAGATAAAGTTAGCTGAAGTAGAACATGCTTATTTAGAATATGCAAATTTTCAATTCATTTCTGGATGATGCCATTGCTATTCCAGAATACCATTTATTTTGTTGCCATAGTTTGTTTAAAACACTACATTTATCTAATAAGAAATAACTTTAAAAACTTATTGTTCGACTTGCTCTCATGAAGTCTTGTCGTTTCATCAAAAATAAAAACGAAATTAGTCAGAGAAAAAAGATTTATAAAATAATATTTTTTTCACATCGGTAAACAGACATGGTGGTGATAAATGTTTTTCGGTTCTCAATGAAGCCTTTTCATACTTCGTCTGCTTCAGCTTCTGCTTTTAGTTTTCTCTGAGCTAGTATTTGGTTCAATTCTTGAGATGTAAGCGTTTTGTACTGTAATACAAATAATAAGAAATAGAATTTAAAATAACTGTAGAAAACATGTTATAAACAATAAATTAATAATATAAATAAAACGTGCATATGTTATCATAATCTTTTAGAAATGTTTCTTTAAATTCCTTTTTTTCATCCCTCAAATATTGAGCATTAGTAAGTTACTTAGAGTTGAATCGTTCCAACTTTGAATTTTTGTAAACATCCTTTTTGGTCTGAGGAAGAATTTCCATTTCTTAAACTAACGTGTTAGAGCTGCTTTTTTGTTTATTACTTCTTCATTGAGGTTTTGAAATGATTGAATACACTGGTCTTTGTTGATAAAATTCTGTTCTGAGTAATATAAGCATAAGCTAGTTTATCTTAGTATTATAAAGTAAAATCTTCTTAATCTTTTTTATTTATTTTTATAATTTGTGTATGAAAAAAAAGGGAATTTCTTGAATAAAAGATGGAATATACTTATTTTTTATGAAATGAAATGGAAATAATGAGGAATGTAAGAAACATTGATAATGGTTCTTAAGTTCTTATGTTAATCATAAAATGGTTTTACAATAAAAAATGACTTACTTAAAATAAATGACTGATAATTTAATAATTTAAAAAAAATTCATAATAAATAAATTAAAAAACGAAAGGAGACAGTAGTGCACGAGATGTTACATTCTGCTTAGAATACTAGAGTTACATTTTAATCTAGTTCAAAATTAATTTCATAGTACGTCAGCGAAGGACACTGCCGACCTCGGAAAAACTATGAAACGATGTTTTCAAAATAACTACCATCTTCAGAAACACCGTGGCTCAATTTAAGGGCGAAATTAACATGCATCCGTGCAAACACTTTAATTCAGAATGTTCGTAAACAAGAAAAAGCAGCTTCAGGGTCTTTTCTAGTCAATAGCGCCATCTGCTGGGGAACTTTGTAACTAATTTGAAACTTAAAAATAAAATTAGTGGTTTCCTAAACAGCGTGCGAAAAGGCGTACATTTTTACCTTCTTTTTAGTTCATTTATTTTTCTGAGTGTCGGTCATTTATAAGGCACTTGTTATAATACCTGTAAAATACATATTGAGTTTTAACTATAAATAACGAATATTAAGTTTTCCCGCCAAAATCTTAGAATAATAAGGTTCTTAATGGGATAATGTTCCTTTGAAAACAATCTATTCTATTTGTCTTTAAAAACAGATTTATTTCCCCTCGCATTAGCTAAGATTTGACTTAACCTTAACATCTATTAAACTATAATAAAAAAATAAAAAAATAAAACTTACTCCGGACATGTTTTTTTGAACTTGTAAGTGGCTGTGTAGTTTGATTCCTTCCTCACCAAGATATTTTTCTAGTTGTTCCTTTTTTAGCTTGAAAAGCATTTCTGCTGACATAGGCTTTAACACTTCTAATGCTCTAGATAGAAGAAAAGAATTATGCATCATCAGAATTATGCAAAATCAGTTGTTTATTTAAAATATAGTCGTTTTAGTAAATATCTTCCAATTTTTGCATAAATTAAGAAAGAAGGATGGTTTGAGAACATTTTTATTCTCAATCCTTTACCTCCTATACAAGAATTTTCGCAAAATTTACACAATGAAACTGTTTTTTACTTCTTCCAAAATCGACTTAACGCGTGCATGTTATCAGATTCCTGTTCACCCAAATGACGTTTCCAAAACAGCCATTGCAACACTATTTGGACTTTTTGAATCTTTATTTATGCCTTTCGGTTTATTTAGCTCTGCACAAACTTCCACCTTTATTTCTCTCAATGATCTTATTAACTCTGTGTTAATTTTATATGTTCTAATTAATGG